TGGGGAGGGGGGGCAGGGCAGTGCCAGCTCGCTGGCCTTGTGCCCGGTGCCGACAGCCTCCCGAGCGGACTGCATTTCTGGGGAAAAGGCTCAATCAGGCTCCGCAGCCTCCGCAGGTCCAGACGCCCTGTCCTGCTCTCCTAGCCCTTCTCCCGGGTGCGGGCCGTGGGTCGGGTGGAGGTTTCTGCTGGGGCCTGAGGGCCACTCTGTCTGTCCTTGTCTGGGAGCCAGGCCAGGGCCACAACCCGGAGTCCAGGAGATGGGGCCCCGAGTCCAGGGATGGGATTCCCGAGTCCAGGCGGATGGGATTCCCGAGTCCAGGCGGATGGGGTCCCCGAGTCCAGGCGGATGGGACCCCCAAGTCCAGGAGGTGGGGTCCCGAGTCCAGGGATGGGATTCCCGAGTCCAGGGATGGGATTCCCCAAGCCAGGCGGATGGGATCCAGTGACATCACCTCCAAATGGAGCAGGCAGCAGGCTGGCAGCACTGACGTCACCCCTGTCCACTGCCTGGCCATGTCTTGACCCCTGGGAGAGACTCTGACCCCTCGATACTTACAAGATTCCCAGAATGGGGCCCCCTGAGTGTGTGGGGTGTTCATGGAGGTGCTGCTGAAAGGGGAGCTTCTGACCAGGATTGGACCAGTGGGTCTTGTGAGAGACTTGGGCGGGGCTGGGGGGGGGGGCAAAGGGGAGAGGAGTGGTCGTCTCCTGGGTGCGGGGACACAAAGGGGCCTGTGTGCCCCAGCCTGGCACATGCCCTGCATTCCCACCCTCTGAGCTCACTCGGGGGAGGGGCCTGGAAGGAAAGGGGCCTTCTCTTGGCCTGGAGCCCGGTCGCCCCTCTGCCAGCCTCGTCTGGGAGGTGCCTGGCGCTCTGGGTCTCTGCTCCAATGACCAGAGATGACCATCCAACTCCCTTGAACTGGGAGAGGGCTGGTCCAAGGCGAAGGTGAGAGAGTGGTCGAGGGTTAGGAGAGGACTGGGCCCTCTTCAGACCCTCGAAGTGGCCGGAAGAACAGCTGCAGGAGCAGGGTGGGAGGAGGGATGGGGAGCAGCTGGAGCCGAAGCAGCTGCTGGGTGTCCTCTCGCCCCAGGTGTGCTTGGAGAGGCCGAGCCGCCGGAGCCCGAGCTGGTGGAGGTGGAAGTGGGCAGCACAGCCCTCCTGCAGTGCGGCCCCTCCCGTCCCCAGGACAACCTCAGCAACGTGGACTGGTTTTCCGTGAGTGCCAAGGCTCCAGAGGGCAGCAGCGGGGGGCTGTCCCCTCCTGTGGCCCAGGACCCCACCTCCCCTGCGCCTCCCCTTAGGTTCACAAGGAGAAGTCCACACCCATCTTCCGCGTGCGCCATGGCCTTGGTCAGAGTGAGCCCGGGGAGTACCAGCACCGGCTCAGCCTTCAGGATGCGGGGTCTACTCTGGCCCTGACCCACGTCACCCCTCACGATGAGCGTGTCTTTCTGTGCCAGGGCAAGCTCCCTGGGTCCCGGGAGCACCGCCTCCAGCTCCGCGTCTACAGTGAGTGCCTGGTGGGCGGGGCGGGTAGGATGGAGTGGGCGGTGCGGGTAGGATGGAGTGGGCGGGGCATCACCCCTCATGAGCGTGTCTTTCTGTGCCAGGGCAAGCTCCCTGGGTCCCGGGAGCACCGCCTCCAGCTCCGCGTCTACAGTGAGTGCCGCCTGGGCGGGGCGGGTAGGATGGAGTGGGCGGTGCGGGTAGGATGGAGTGGG